AGCTGTGCCGGCAGCACAGAGCTGCTCTGGGAGCGGAGTGGAGGCACAGCAGAGCTCCCGTCCCAGAACTGCCTCTGGAGCAGATTCCTTAGAGCCTTTCCTTGGCACTGGGAACCAGGACCTGTAGCTCTTGCCCCAGTGGCTGTCAGACCGTATCCTTGCCCCATTTCTCTATGGTAATCTGTTTCCTATCTTTTCACACCACTAATCAGTCTGTGTTCCAGACATTCCTTTTATTGTTCTTGGCTTTAGTTTAGCCTACATATCATTAAATATTAATGGGCCTAAAATGATTGCCACGAAGAAATGTATAGTTAATTATTGAGCATTCTGAGAAATGTATCAGCTTCTTCAAATTGCTGAGTTATCTTCCAGTTTCACTGCTCCTCCTCCCCAGTAAGATTATTGCCTTCCAATATTGCCCTGTTTCTCCATTCATACTCTTCTATAAACAATCTTTAGCTAATCTCTAATTAGAGTCACTCTTTCCTTTCCACTCCAGGCTATTCCCAGGCTATTCCCAGGCTATTCCCTAGGGATCACAAAGCAAAGCTGGCCAGAGCAGTGCCAGCTGAGTTTATCCTGTGGGTGCCAGAGCAGGGGCACCTGCTCTAACCCCTGCACTCCTAGGAGAAAGTTACTCTTCCCTTCCCCTTTCCCTGGGAAGTCTTTGGCCATAGATCTCCTGCTGAAATTATGCACAATGAACAGAGAGAAAATGCTGTAAGAGATTTAGAAGTTCCAGTTTACCATTTCTGATTTCTTCAAAAACATTCAGATCTTAATTCCTTTTTGTCTTGTCATAATTTCCCCTATTACTATCCATCAAGACTTTATTTTTACCAGGCCATTTCCTTTGGCATAATGACCAATATCATCAACACTGGTGGCTAAAAAGCCTCTGCAAGCTGCTCTGGGCACTACTCACAATGTGCTGCACACTTAGGGAGCAGGAGCAGCTGAGGTCCCTGGATGACAGAAATCGTTTGGGCTCAAAAATCACATGTGTCCTGATCCCAAGGATGAACTCCTTGTCCTTGTTTGTCAAGTGGCTGATTAGCCACAAAGCAAGGTAAGAAATCAACAAAACCCACGGAAAATGTGCAGGGAAAGAGAAATGGCAAGGACATTGTAGAGGTGTGCAAAGGGAATCTGATCCTCCCAGGGGGTGGCACTGTGCCAGAAAGCACAGCAGGAGTCACACCAGCTGATATGTGACACTGCTCCCTAGAAAGCATTGTTATCACGATATTATTAAGTACACTCCATAATGGTTCAACCCAGCAAGGAAGAAGCACATGAAATAACCACCCCAGAAGCAAGAGATGCCACTCTTCTGCAAGGATGAGGCAGTGGGAACTGCTGGTGGGTGTGACCCACTCAGGGCAGGGCAGGGCAGCAGCCCATCCTCCTCCACCAAATCTGAGAGCCCCAGAGAGCACAAGGGAGCGTTTGCCAAGGCAGCTCTGCGGGAAGCACAGCACAATGGCTCTGTCAACACGTGGCTGTGTTTGGGTATCCAGCGTGCCTGTGGGGAGGGAGCTCTGCCTGTGCCTCTGCCCCCAGCACAGCTCTCTGCAGCCCACCAGGGACCAGCCCTGCCCTCCCTCCCTGCTCTGGCCACCGTGTGGGCATGGTGTGCACAGCACAGCACAGCACAACCTGCAGTGAGCTCCTCTGACAGCTCCTGAGACCTCCAGGACTGCCTGCTCTGCCAGCCTGGATCACACAGAGCAGGGGAATCAGTGCTGGGCAGATCCTGCCCGTCCAAAGGCAGCGGTGCAGGGAGCTGTCGGTACTGCAGGAACCTCACCTGGGCAGGCACAGACACTGCCACAGCTGCTCAGGGCAGCTGGGGAAACAAAGGAAATGCTTAGAGGAAATTGAACACCGTGTTTGTCACCTGCACAGCACAGAGACCCAGCTCCGTGCACTTCCCCACAAACACCCGGAGTAAAGAGGTGGTGGGAAGCTGGGGTGGGCCAATGGTGGAGTGGGGCCCAGGTACCCTCCTGCTGCTGCTGTGTGGATCCTTGGCTATCAGAGGGTGTTGGATCCTTCTGGACACACTGGGGCCCAGGTAACCTGCTGCTGTGTGGATCCTTGGCTATCAGAGGGTGTTGGATCCTTCTGGACACACTGGGGCCCAGGTAACCTGCTGCTGTGTGGATCCTTGGCTAGCAGAGGGTGTTTGATCCTCCTGGACACACTGGAAGCTTAAATGCAGAACCTGTTTTCCCTGGAAACAGGACACTCCAAGTGAAACAGTGAAAAATCCCATAATCAGAGCCTCAGGCATGACACAGGCTGGGAGCCAAAGCTGGATGGTAAATTCAGAAGCTGTGCAGCACCTGGATAGGCTCAGCACCAACATGTGCTGCTGAAAGGGCTGTGAGTCTCTGACTGGAGGGTTTCTCTGCAGCTGGAACGTGCAGAGCTCTGTGTTGTACCCAGGAGTTCTGATTCTGATGAGCACAACTACAGCAAACTCTCTAATCCTTTTGAGATATACAGAAATCCAGCTCTGAGGCCAGCTCATGCTACCAACCTGTTTAATTTATAACCTCTCTAAGGATCAGTTATAATGTGAGAATGAGAGCAAAAGGCCAATCTTTTAGCTTAAATTGCACTATTATCACTCAGCTCCCATTCAGAGGGCAAAGACTAATCTGCCATGACAACTTCTGCAAAACAACAGACTCAAGTATGCCTGAACTGTGGACTTCCTTAGAAGCTTGGTACTTTCAAGACATATGGAAAATACCAGCTCCCTTTACTACTCCACAGAAACACATCCATTTACTTAATAAACATTAACTTCATAGTACCTTAAAGTTTACACCAATCACTTGCCCATTAAAAGAATCTCTCCTCTTCCCTCCTTTCACCTCAGCTGGTACAATTTCCCTCATTTCCATTTCCCCACTCTTCCATTTTCTAATTCTTGTTATTCCTTTTTTTATCCATAGTCCCCTTGCTCTTTTCCCTCATCTATATTACTGACGGCGTGTTCACCAGAGGATACTAAAACAGATAAATATGAAATCTAGGGACAAAAATTCCTGCCCTGGGTTTCACAGACCCCTAAGATAACAGACCATAATACAATACAAATTTCCCTCCACACTGATGTTTTCTAGAAGAGAGCAAATGTAAAAGTAAACCCTAGAACTTTAAAAAGTGGACAAAACACAGCAAGTAGCAAGGAAGAAAAAACCTTGGATTGCAGCACAGAGTGTCACTGGACAGAATAAAGAAAACACAAAATCACACTTTTACAGTTGTTCATTCAGCCAAGAGCTCCAAACCTGGAATGGTTGGACAGTTGTGAGAGCAATATTGTAAAAGGGCATTTCTTTTCTTTAGATCAGTGTAGAATGGAAGAATTGTAAAAGTTTCACTTACTGAGATCTTTGTGAAAACATAAATGATGAGGGACAGCACTGACAGGTAGACCTGGATCCGTTTCCCACCGAAACGTTTCCTCAGGTACTCTGGCATTGTCACCACCTGGGGAGGCAGAGGAGCTTTCACAGAATGGGGAACAGCTGCAAATCACATTAGAGCAAAACTTTTGGGACTCAGACACTCTGAGAGTGCAGCACAAAATTAGGAGATTGTAATTGCAGCTTCAGGGAACAGCAGCTCCAGGAATCAAAGGAGAACAAGGAGAGAGCACCAAGTACTTCCCAGCTCAGGTCTCAGAACAGAGAATCCTCATTTTCCAAGTACACAGATACAACAAAGTGCTGCTCTGGCACACTGGGATCTCGTGCCATTCATAATGAGTTTGCTGCACTCCAGCCCTGAGCTGCAGAAATGAGCAGCAAAGACAAATGCAATGTAGTGGTTTGACAAATGCAATGTAGTGGTTTGACAAATGCAATGTGGTGGTTTGACAAATGCAATGTGGTGGTTTGGCAAATGCAATGTGGTGGTTTGGCAAATGCAATGTGGTTGTTTGACTTACCCCAGCCTTGATGTAGATGGGGACAAAGATCCATCCCAGAATCACCACAAATATCAGAGCCTGCAGCCAAGACAAGATCAGCTGAATTAGCTCCTGTCTTTAGACACTGCTCCCAAAACCATTTATCAGAGCAAACAGCAGCTGGGGAACAGTGAAATCACAAAAACCTGGGCACTGCAGGGGTGTGGGGGGAGGAGATTCTGCTCTGACCTCTGATTTACAGTTGAAAATTTGGGGATGGAATCTTGGCTAAAAACTTCATCAGGTATAATGTAGCCTGGGTTTCATGCTAGCTGTCCCAAAGAAGCACACATGATTTGTATTTTCTACAAAACCAGCTGATTTCTCCTCCCAGGATTGCCCTCTGGTATTGAATCACAGCTCCACCAGTGGCACCAGACTATCCCAGCTCTCTTCAGAGCAAGCCCAGCATGGCTGAATGCCTTACAACAATTTCACAGACTGTACAGGATGCACCACAGGCAATTTGTAAAATATTCTGTATTGTTATATTACAATTTAATAGTACATTTTGTGTATCCATGTGTATTCTGTGAATTACTTCTAGCAGTGCCACAGTTTTCTGACTTAAATTGGTGGAATGCTGTCCAATACTGAGCTGTACATACTTAAATCAACAAATACAAAACAAATTCCTGCCCTCAGAGCTGCACTCTGTATTTATTTTATCCACAGGGCTTAGAGGGCTTTTAAACTGTATCTTTTAAGTTCTGCCCTTAGGTCAAAACTGTAAGATGGACAAGAAATACTGGGTCAGCTTCTGCTGTCATTCTGATACAAAATAGAAATAATTTGAATGGGACAGGGATACACAAGGATGACAACAGTCAAATTTGGTATTACTTTCATTACTCCTGCTGTGTGTGTTAGCTGTGCCACTGTAAGTCATGAACTCTGCAGTGTCTGCTCAAACACCCCAGAGCTCATTGCTGCTTCCCAGCCAGCCCCTCCTGCTCACTGTGGGTGACACTGCTCCAGCAGGAACCTCGCAGGAGACAAAGTGTTAGAGATGTCTGAAGAAGGATATGGACCCTAGAGATTTGTGTTCTGTTTTGATTTGCTTTGTTCTGCTGGGAAAAGAAGGAGAATCAGGTCTGCCATAGGCCTGATATAATCAAAAAGAGGGAGCTGGCAGATAAACTGCACATCTCAGTTCATTTTAAGCTTTGTCCTTCTCCTTAAACATTTATATCCTACCAGTACTCGATTATTTGCAGCAAGCATTCTCTTGCTGAGGAGCACAAAGCCAAATCCCCCAGGGTGGGAGGGTTCTTTGGGCTCAGAAATAAACGCAGGGAAGTATCGACCTGTGGAGGCTCATTCAGCCCTTTGTGCCACGGCTCATTCCCTCCCCGAGGGTGAATTAGGCACAACGACGCCATTGTCAGCCGCACCCTGTGGCTGACAGCACAAGGAAATGGATGCAGGGGCTCAGGGCAGCCTCCGTTCACGCTGACCCTGCTACTCCGGGAAGCTCACTTATCTATCGCTGATACATACAGTGCTACATGACAGCTCTACCCTGTACTGGAACCGCAAGCAAAACACGAGCATAATTACAGGAAGGAGAAGGTAAAGAGGAAAAGATTTTTGGAATGCAGGTGCTTGTGCAGGATGTTCAACATCCCTTACAGCCTGTGAAGAAATCAAAGCATCTTCAATAATTTCTGCATAGCAAAATGCTGCAAAAATTACCATGGATTGCCTGATAAATTCTTGCCAGCATCCTGCACTCTGAAAATGTTGTTCACAAATACTTTAAAAGTAATAAAACTATATGCATAGAGGAGAAAATGCACCAATTGATTTGGTTCAAATACTCTCTAAAGAGCTTCAACCAACAAGTGTCACCTTCTCCAGTGGCTTAGACAGGTTAAATACTAGATTACATTGGCTCTTAGTGGTCTGTGCAGAAAACAAGTGTTGCCAAGTACAAACTTTGACAGTCCTAAATTACTAGGCTATGTTATTTTGATTAAGCTCTGCAGATAATCCAGATGTCACAAGTATTTCCCTGACATATATGGCACTTACATTCCACTCATATCCTCCAATGGCAATTCCTCCAGCTGCTGCTGTTCCTGCTATTCCCACAAAGTGCCCACTGCCAATGTTGCTGGCAAACAGAGATGCACCAATCTGCAAAGAGAAAAAACAGAAATTGGTTCTTATGTTCATGGGAATTGCTGAAAAATCCCCTTCATCTGGCACATTGAACTCAGCACCACTGCCTGTGCTGATGGCAATGACTGACAATCAATTCCTTGATAGATTTCAGAACTCCCACTGAATCCAGAGCCCCCAGCACCACATCCACAACAGTGAGGGAGAAGAGGGTGGTGAATCAAATATCTTCCAGTTGAGTCAAAAATACATTACACCAATATAGATTTTTAAATGTTTGCAGAACTTGCCAAGCTGGCATTGGGACGATATCCAGGCAATCAGGGAGGAAGACTGTGATCTTCCTTGTTCAAGGGGGAAATGAGCAGGGCATCCCCAGCTGTCATTCCTGCACTCCCTGTTCCACATTGCACAGCCTGTGCATCCAAATGTGCCCTGCTGAGAGCTGGACTTGGCTCACTGTTAGCCAGAAGTATTTGATTACTGAATTAAATTCTGAAAGCTGCAGAGCAGGAATGTCTGCTGAGAAAGTGGAAACCAGGGGCAATAGTAAATCAAGGAGTTATATTTAAGAAGTGCTGGATCTTTAAGACCCCCAAATATTGCACTGATCAGCAGGGAGAACATGGGAATTGATGAACAGGGAGAGATTGATAAAATGAAAGATTCCTGTTGGTCTGCAGACAGGCAGGAGCCATTCACAAAGGTCTAATTCTTAATTAAGTAACTTAGACAATAGAAAAGATGAAAAGGACTGAGCTTCTTTTCCTCAAAATGAACACATTAAAGGCAGCAGAAATACCCAGTGATGATTTACTGGATCAGGCACTGAAGGATGCAGGGTGAGAAGTCAGGCATAAAAAAGAGGTTGGATTTGAGTATTGTGGGCAGAGGACAAGGAAGCTGGAAGAGTTCTGAGATGAAAAAATGAAGTGAACATTTTTTTATTCTTCTCTATTCTTTCCCCACATCCTTACATTTAAAGCTAAAACAATAACAACAATAAACAGGCTTAAAAAGAAAACCACATAAAAGCAGGCAAGGGAATTTCTGCTGACCTCTTCCAATGCTCTCCATTTGAATCATGGAATATCCTGAGTTGGAAGGGACCCACAGGGATCATTGAGTCCAACTGATTTGAATAGCAGCAAATATTCAATCAGTGTGGCTGGGAGCACAGGGACAATCCCCTGAGTTTGGGGAGGATGAAGGATTTCATCCTAGAAATCCACCCCTGCAGAGCAGATTTATTCTACAGAGCTGTGGCATAGCCAGAAATAACAACCACCCTCTTCAACCCCCCACCCTGATCTCTGATAACAAATAGATTATCCTCCCCTATTTTCATTTGAAACACACAAATGAAATTCAGGGGGTTCCATTCTTTCTTTTCCAGGCTTACAGTTTTTCTCTTCCATCAGTTTGATCTCCTGGTTTCTTCAAGTCTTTTTCTGCAGACAAACTGTTCTTTTGCTGGGACAGGAAATTTATGATTCTAAGTTTACTCAGTTCTGGATTTGGAGTTTTTACACATTTCTAAAAGCCAGTTATGCCCTACAGGATTGTAACCAGTTGGTCATATGACATTTCTACAGGACTGATAAGTTTTGCAACAAACATTGGCAAACAAAAGACCTCTGTTTCTTCTAACCTCTTGGTGACAGCAACAGTTTTCCAGAAATGATAGTGAAGAAAAAAATATCACTTTTACTAAGCCTTAGCACTGTTGCCCAACACTTTCCTTTGAGATAAATAATTAAACTTAAATCTAGGTTACTAGAAATGCAATCACCAGAAAATATTAACCACATTAATCTCTGATTTTATTTAATGTGTTCCCTCTCCCGGTTCAAGAGCTTAAAGGCAGATCCAAGTAACAGAAGCAGCTAAAGAGGAACTCTGAGAACTGACAGGCACGAGCTTTGGCTCAGTGCCTGAAACCCCAGGACACACTGCAGGCAATGCTGCTGATGCTGTGTTCTCAAATTTATCTAAAATAATATTGTACTGAAAGAAAAATACCAAACCAAACCAAACCAATGCAAAACTACCAACATATTCAGGACCAGCACAAGGACAAAGCAATGTGAATGCAGATCCCACATTCACATCCTAATTTTTTTCTTTGAATTAGGGGAACATCCAGTGCAGCAAATCTTTAGGATCAACACACACTAATAATGGATGCAATTTAAAAATAAGTTTCAGTTATGTCACACAGCTGGGAAGGGAGAACATGGCTTCATGGCCAGGAAAATGCAGATTACCCTTAAATCTGCAGCATGGCCACAGCAAGAAGAGTGCTGACCAAATACCCTCACACCCCAGTGGCTGCTGATGCCAGAGGGGAGAGAGAAATTTCCCACCTGTCGTATTTTAAGGATGAGGAGAGAAGGCAGATGGCTCTGGGCCTGAGCTGCCTTGCTGGAGAACTTACTGCAGTGGGATTTCTGTACTGGAAAGGCTGATTAGTGGAATTCTTGATTTGCCATTGGTAGATGCTGCTGAACATCTTAAAAACTCTGGGCTGAAACTGGGAATGGCAGAAGGAAACAATCTTCTGGCAGTGTTAACTGTTCTCAGAGAATGTGTGAGTGAACTGACTTTAAAGACAGATCCAGGAGGGAAGGTGAAGAACAAAGTTGGTTGAAAGAGACAAAAGCTGCTAAGAGAGAAAGAGGATGAAAAACCTGAACTAACCTGAGGCAAACGTGGAACATTAACTCTTTTAATAAATTTTAAGAGGTCAGGCCCTAACAAGAGCACTCTGTTCAGCAGAAGTACCACCACCCTGAAACAGATGATGATCACTGTGTTTTTTCCTGTTATTCATTAACTCTTTCACCTTGCTCTCCTCATGAAGAGGAGGATGCAGTGACATCCTGGCCCTGCCATTCCCAGCTGGGTGGATGCACTGGGCAGGCAGTGGCAGCTGCAGGGTGCAGAATGCCCAGCCTGTGCCTCCTCTCCCTGCCAGGACCTGCCAGCACAGCCCCTGCCCTGTGCCCACCCTCCTGGAGGCATCAGCTCAGCACCAAACCCTTTCCCACTGATCCTCAGAGCACAGGGGATCTCTCACCCCACAGGCCCTGAGCCATCCCTGAGGTACCACCCCTGCAGAAGCTCTTCCCACACCCCTCTTCCCTGACACATTTCTCATTCCAGCCCCTGAGGCTGTTCATGCTTTTCTCTAACCAACAGCTCTACCCTGCACCTTGTGGCTTTACTCTGATGCAAAGGCTTTGCTTCTCCTACCTGAGCTTGTTGGGATCACCCTCAGTCCCTTTGGAAATGCAATATTACTGCCACACTTCCTAGGCTCTGAGACCCAAAGATGGAAGTGTGAGGTTTATTCTTCTTTCCCAATTAATCTGAAAATTCTATTAATTGCTTTATTATCCAATTAAGCCACATCTTTATAATTCCCAGTGTACTAAGGGAGGGAATGGACAATAATCATCAAAATGTCTGTGCTCAAACAAACCTGGTCCAGCTCAGGCTCAGGAGGATCTGACACCTCCCCACTTTGTGCTCTGAGGCAGAAACACCTCCCAGCCAGCTGGAAAGTCTCACAGATTCTGCAGAAATCCATTTCACTGAACTTCTACTTCTCTATCAGAGCTTTGCTTTGATTACTTCATTATTCTTTTTACCCTGAAAACTATTGATGTAACACTTTTTTTTTTTTTGCATGGAACTTGACAAGGTAATTTTTCATTCTACTTTACCTAAGAAAAGGAAATGCAAATCTTATTCACAGCAGAATTGTTGTTCCTGGTTCCTCATAGCAGTGGGCAAAATCCTGAGACAATGTGAAACTCACCTGGCTGCAAAGATCAGAGAAATCATGCCAGTGGTCAGTTCTGCTGGCCACAAAGATTAGCTGAGCACAGCTGAAGCAAGAATCTATTGGGTTTTTTCCCCTAATTCTTATCTCTCTGACAAAGATCTAAATGTACATGACCAGAAACAAGCTGAGTTACATTTCTCTTTGGAGTGCCCTTGACCCTGCACCACTGTTCAGTAAATCTCTCTAACAGAGCTGGCTTCACATACCCAGCAGATTCTCTTTGTCCTGTTCATGCCTCAGGACCTGAGGTGTACAAGGTAACCCATAATTTTGTGCAGACAGATCTGTCTGCAAAACTCCAGAACCTGAAGAAGAAAATTCAAAAGCAGGAAGGCTTCAAAAGTTTGAGGTTTTTTTAATTGTGCATGAAGGGCTTTAATCCTGTGAGATTGCTGCTACCAAAGCTGACTGTTCTGCAGGAACAGACACTTCATGTCCTACCATGGCAGGAAGCATTTGGCTGAACCCAACTCCTTCATCTGGCAAAGGAAGCTGAAGCTGGCAAGGCCCATTGCTACAGAGCTGTCACTTGCCTTGAACTTCTCTGGGTCTTTTTGGGAAAAACAGAGCTGATTATGAGGGTTTAAAGAGCCATGAGTCTTTCCTGAAGATATTTCCCCCAGAGCCCAAGACAGTTTCTTGAAGATTCTTCTGTCAGTTTCCATAGCAAGAGAGTGGAAAGGGCTCAGCATTTTGTAAGAGTTTCTTAGGTTATAACTAACCAACAGCAGATTTCAGTTTTGGGTAATCTGGGAGAATGCTCTTATATACCTTTATCCCTAATTAACCAGGGAATTACTGAGATGGCTCAGCCACTGCACAAGGGCAGTGATTCCAGTGAAGTGAACTCTCACCTCAGCCAGAAAAATATCTTGGGCTTGGTTCTGCAAAATGCTGAGCAGCTTTCCTGGATTCTGCTGGTGCAGAACAATCAGAGCCCAAGCAGGGCAAACTTGGCCCAAGATGTGTCTTGGTCCTACTTTATACATTGAGAAATCAAATCACAATCACAGCCAGTGACTACAAACATTCAAAATCCATATAAAAGCAGGAATAATCTCTAGCCCTTCATTACCAGGCTCTCCTCTAGTCCACCAAAGCACAGATGTGATATGGTTTAAGTGAAGAGAATCCCTTCCCAGCCTGTCAGTAACACTCTGCTAATGACCCTCCTTCTCTCTAGGGTCAGAAAAGCCACTTGTGGGTGCCCTGCAGAGCATAGCATACAGACCACAACTGAAAAATACAATTAGTTAGGGGAATTAAGTTTATACCAAGTTTGTGGAAGGATTTTTTTTCTTCATTTTGCTCTGTTCCAGAAAGCAATTACATGACAAGGGTCATTATCCTGAAATGGCAGGGGAGAAATCTGACAAACAAGGGCCCTCTTGCAAAACAGCTGCCCCCACCCTTTCTGTGGAAATGCACTGAGGCCCCCCAGAACCATCCCAGGTTAGCCCTGACTTGGCACAAAAGAGAAATCAAAGCACAAAGTAAAACATCACACTCAGCTCTAGCAGCTCTGAGATCACATCTCTGACTAAACTTTCTATACTTTCATTGGTTTCCTCATCATTTCAGCCCAGTTTGCTCTGGGTGATTGACACGATCAAACACGATCCCATCTACCTGCTAAGCTGTCAGAATTGGTGTTTTGGAAGCTCTTTTTATCCAAGGCAAACTTTCCGGGGTGGTGCTGCTGACATGGTATTTAGTTTGTGGTTTTGGAGTGTTTGCTCTTTGTTTATTTTGAGTGATACGAGGAAGAATAGCAAGAAAGGTTCATTTTTATGGCATGGGAAGCCCCTCCTGGCATTCCAGAGGGAAGGATTGAAGGGGAGATCTAGGACTGAGCACTTTGTCCTCACTGAGCTCCCAGAGCCTGGGAAGGAGGGAGGGGATCCTGGCAGGAGCTTGGGCTGCTCCCTGCTCCTTCCCACTGGAGGAGGGGAGCTTGCAGGCTCTGTTGGGTTTGTGCTGGCAGAGGATCAGTGTCAGATCCTCTCCCCAGGTCTCAGGGGATCACCAGGAGTTCTCAGTGCCACTGGAGCAGCACAGAACTTTCCTATGGTGAGGCTTGGCTGCCCTGCTGCCTCCATGTCCGTTCACACCTCACAAAAGGATATTCACACCCCCTTGCCAGGCAGACACAATTGCACAAGGTTCAAACCAGCCCCCTGATTAAAGTGACAGTTGAGTAATCTGTTAGGTTCTCTTCTCCCAGAATATTGGGTTTTATCTTAAAATAAATTGGAAACTTTCTCTTTCCCCAGTCTTCCAAAGGAACCTGAATTTTCTTAGATCTGCTACATCAGATGAAGAAATCTTTTACTGTCATTGGCCTTTAATCCTTCATGTCCTTACAGAGGCTGTCCCAATGCCTTCTAAAGGCAGAGAGCAGCTCCCTGAAGCACAGGACTGAAAGCTGGGCAGGTATTTCTGCAGCCTACTTCAAAATCTTCCTAAATCTTTAGGGAATCAATGTTTACTCTCAGTCTTCTGGTCCTGTAACTGAATCAGTGTGTGTGGACTCTTGACTCCCAAGCCTTAATGAAGTGCAGAAACATTTTCTGAGACTGAATGCAAGATCAGAGGTGTTGAGGAATTCCATTCAAACAAATGGAATAATGTAAAACACGATTCCATTTCCTGTATTCCAGTGATCCAGAAAATGCAGGTTTGTCTAAGTTGTCTGCTTTTCCTATTAAGGGGACTGTATGATCAGGAAGGAATAGACAATTGTATCAAACATCATTTCTGCCAAATGGCCTGATGGGATGGATGGCTAAAAACACTTTGTGGCTGTGACTCCTGTTCTCTGCCTTGGAATATAAAAGAGTTCCACAGAAGACAATCAAGGTAAACCACAGCTAATCTTTAAATACATTTAAAATATATTTTACCAATAACATACCAGAACATTTCCAGGATTTTTCTCCTTGTACAGACCAGAACTTGTTACCAAAAGTAGAAACAATAGAGCAATAAAGAGGAAAATTGCAGTAAATTAATTCCTGTCTGTGATAACCTTAACATGAGCCAGCTTCTTTGAGTGCAATGAAAAGAACAGAGTCCAAATGTTGAAAAGTTTTTAAGTGGCACGAAAGGCAAAGCACTGGATTTGTCTGTACTGACATTAACAATGTACTTATAGCCAAATAAGTTGATCACATAATCAAGACAGCTGAGAGCTGAGCAGAGACAACTTCCCCCAGCACTTCTCCCTGCCCATCCCTGGCTCTGTTTGTGCAGTGTGCCCTGTGACACCAGGGGCTGGAGAAAGGGTTGGATTTGCAGCCACACAACAGAGCCACCAGAGCCTCAGCAGAGTCACAGAGCCCTGGATGTGCCAGGACAGACAGGGCAGATGCACACCCTGTGTTTTACACTCAGCACTCACCGGCCACCACACCATGCTCCGGCCAGCCAGGAAAAACCCACCCACTGTGCCTCGGTTGGTGGAGTACATAGCCTGGAAAAAAGGAAAAAAGAAAGTTTTGATCATATTTCAAGTGTGCTAGGCAATTATACACAGGCTGAGAACAAACAGCCTGAATGAAGGGATAACAAAACACACAGGCAGGGTAAAGTGAGAAAAACAGAGTGGCCAAAAATGATGAAGAAAATACAACGGAATACAATACAATAATACAATGAAACTATTACTCTTTCATCTAGGTCTGCATTAGCCATTCAAGTTTCATTCCTTCACCTTTCATTATAGTGTGAAACATTAAATAAAATTAAATTTAACCAAGAAAAATTTTCCCTCAAGTAAAAGCTCACATGAATTTTTTCTTGGGGTGAAAAGCCTTTGCTTTCAGGCATCAAAATAGACTATAAGGTGCAAGTTTATTATTATACAGAAAGTATGCAGCTTTTTTACTCAATACCATCCTGCCCCTATAGGTATCTGTTCCCTTCTTGTGATATCAGCATTGTGCCTGATTCCCTCTGAAGTTCCAAAAGAAGAAGCCAGCTAAAGTTTCCTTTTTACAAACTCATGTTGTCTTTGTCAAGGGATGGGCTTTAGAGGGAAGTTCCTCAAATTTCTATTAATGACCTTGAGCCATTATTTACTGGATTTCCATTGTCATCTCTGATGGACTTTGAACAGGTAAATAAAGAAAGAAGACCTGGGGAAATTATCCATGTATTTTCTTCCAATACAGAAGAAAGGAAGTAAACACAATGGATTTACATTTAACAACACACAGCATACTGGGTAAGTATTTGTCCAGTAACAATGTCTTCATGGCTGGAAAGAAAAGTTTCCAGGAATTAACTCAGCACACAATGGCCTGAGAAGCCAGAGATCAGCTCCTTATTGTCAGAGATCTTTAACATGAAGTTCAACTACAGCAACAGCCAGACTCTCATGGTAGGACCCAGCTCCCTCCTGCCAGACAACCAGGTGTTCTGCTGGACTGGGGCTTCAGATTTTTAACTATATTTTTGGCCTCTGCTCCTGTGCTGAAGAGGCAAAGAAAAGTTTGTGTCCACTTTGTGCAACCTGTAAATTGTTGGTGCCCCTCAAAATATTGCCAGGTTGTTAGAAAGGGATGTTTGTTCTGCACTGTGCACTGTGACTTTTGTGCACTGTGAAATATTGCTGGGATGCTCCTGGAAAGCAGAGGATCCCTGAAGGGCAACCCCTCCTCTCTGCTTGTCACTGGTCAGGTGTTCAGGTGACAAGGAGGGCTTGCCCCAGGGAAACCCGAATTCAGTGCCTTCCCCTGGAGCTCAGTGCATCGGCCCATTCTCTCAGACGCTTCAGCTCTGAGGTCCCAGCGCTGCTTTCCTGCCCTGGCTGCCGGGGCTTTGCTCCCGGGGCTCCGGGCTCCCCTTGAAGCGCTGCCGGCCGGGCTGGAGGCACCGAGCACAGGAACTGCCAGCCCTGCCGGGGCTGCTCCTGCTCCCGGCTCTGCACCCTGACACAGCCCCGGGGCTGCTCCTGCTCCCGGCCCTGCACCCTGACACAGCCCGGGGCTGCTCCTGCTCCCGGCTCCTCACACAGCCCCGGGGCTGCTCCTGCTCCCGGCTCCTCACGCAGCCCCGGGGCTGCTCCTGCTCCCGGCTCCTCACGCAGCCCCGGGGCTGCTCCAGCTCCGTGGCTCTGCACCCTGGAGCCCAGGCACAGCCCCGCCAACGCTGCCTTCAAACGGCACCCGCAGCCTCGGCCGAGGCGCCTCTGCCGTCCCGTCCCTGTCCCCATGCCTGTCCCTGTCCCTGTCCCCGCGCTGTGGGTGCTGCCACACCGCCTCCCCACCCCGGCGCACCCCGCGTCCCCTCCCGCCCCTGCCCAGCCCCGCAGCTCCCCCTCGCCGCTGTTTCCCAGGCCATCCCCTCCCAGCACAGCTCTCCCGCAGCCCCAGCGCCCCGTGGCCACTCTCAGATGCAGCCATGTCTGAGGGACCCTGGCTGATCTTCACCGATCGCATCTCTGGGCTCCATCCCACACAAACTCCGGCACTGCACCTTCCCACTGTTGCATTCATCCACCCAAAGGGATGCCACCCTGGCTCACCATCCCCTCTGATGTAAACAAGTGCCCACATTTTGCCCACCATGCACCTGTTAATTATTTCAATTAAGCATCAAAATCTTTATCTGATTACGCATTCTCACTTACTACACTATTGTGCCAAGACTCTATAATCTACCTGCTCCTCAAGTAAAACAAAATAAAATCCCAACATACCCATAGTCCCACTGCCAGAACTATCAAAAAGTAGAGAACAATAACAGAGATGTCTGCAGCATTGTTGATCCTTATGATGGATTCCATCCTGGCTGCTTCTCTGGCTTTCTTCTTCTTCCTCTCCTTATGTGCTTCTTGCAGGGTTCAGGTTAATGATAAACTGCTGTCATCACCTACGTCTTATATAATATATAACTTCAGATTCACTTGTCTCCAATGGGACACAAGTTGAAGCAGCTGCTTTTCCTTGGACAACTTTTTTTCCCAAAGAGTGCTCCTCTGTCACAGGTGCTGCAGATTTCACAGTTCAGTGTCCCTGCCAAAGGTGCTCGGGGTTTTAACATCCACGAGCAGATGTCTGAGAAGGAATGACACAGAAAGGAGTGGCTTGGCTGCAATAAACCTGCATATTTACCTCACTGTGGGTGAATGCTTTTTTTTTTTTTTTTAAGTGGTTGTACCTGTAAATCTAGTCTTGGAAGATGTAGTTATTTTAGCTGATGATGGTAAGCAATTATCTGTGAGGAGTGACCTGGCACCTGGGGAAAACCCAGGGGTCCAGGATCTGGGACAACCTCTGTGTCATCTCTCAGCAGCATTAGTCAATGGAGAAACACTCCTGTGTTTCTGGGGAGGAGAAAACTTCAATCTGCTTCCATCTCTCACATGGATACAGGTAAAGATGCATGTGAACACAAGACCTGGAGCCAGGAGCTTACTGGGCTGAATTTCAGCCTGTTTAGACTGTGGTGCTGGCTCTCTCTATTCCAGCTAATCAGCTTCACATTTGAGTAAGTTCAAAGTTCATCAGACCTTGGATCTGCTCTCCCTTTATTTGCTCCTCTGACTTCAGAATTAAGCTAAGCAAAGCAAGTGGTCACAAAGATGTGGAACACACAGGTTATAGACAGATCCTCACAGCTCTGAGGAAGGAACCTTCCCCAAATGATGCCCATGATCCTCTGTTTGAGCTAGAAGGGGTCAGAGAAATCCAGGGAATTTAGAACAATCTATCTGGGTGCCAGGCACATTTGTGGGCTCTGAGGATGTCTGAGAGTCCCATTCCCTGCTTGATACTAAGGAATCATTATTCATTTACAGCCTTTTGGGTGTAAAATGTGACCTTGAAGTGACACTGAGCAGAACAAGCAGTCAAGGACATGGGAAGCAAGCAGGCCTGACTGATCTTGCAGGTGTTATTTCCTCAGAGATGAAATTGAGGGCTGGCACTCTGCTCATTGGCAACGATTTTCTCCTGGGTAAACTACCCTGTGGTAATTGTGGATCATAAAAAACAGCAAAGAACCTATAACACAATGGGATTGCTTGAAAGAGTGAAATCTGAAAATCTGTCTCTTGTTAGAGCAGCTATACCCTTATAAAACAGTGCTACCTTTTTGATAGTTTAGGCATCTCTCCCAAATACATTCTTCAGTTTGTCCTACATGACTGTGAAATGTTAGCTTTAAATCCAACAGAGAAAAAATTAACCCTGGAAGCTGCTGAGCATCCAAAATTCCCATTAGTTCTGACCTTCCCTGCTGTGTATTTCAGTGGAAAATAAAAGACTTATTTACTAACCTTAATTATCAGGAAACAGTTTGTCTAAGATAGGCTGCAGATGGCACTTCTTTACAGAGATTGACACATTTTCCTCCGGGTCCTTGCACCTAAAAGTTTGGTGTTCATGAATTCCATTTCTGTGTTCTACAGAGGCAAGCAAAAGAAAACATTAGTCAGGGACTGATCTATTCTGATGTGCCTTGTGTCCTCACCCCAGCCTCTGTCCACAGCTCCTGGTGTGGCCACACCAACAAAATTCCAAGGTTTGAAACATTAATGGAGAATCAACATCTAAAAAATAGTAATCACACAGTTCCTATCTTTATGCACAGTGGAAACAAACTTCATTGTTTTTTATTTCTGTAGGGCACAAACAGAAACTAAGCAGAAACCAACATCATCTACAGGAGTGTCAGAAGGGGAGGGAGCTTTGTCAGGGCTCTGAATATCTCATCTCCACATCCTCATATCTGCAGCCAAAGAGAAACCTGGAAGCATTGCAGGTTGTTGGTGCACCCAATGATTCACTGCTTGAATTCAGTGCACACAAAAGGTTTGCACTGAAAGGTCAGGCAGGTTTTCACATTGGAACAGGCTAAATCTTTCTTTGTGTCAAAGCTTTCAAAGATAAGCAAGAGTGAATCTCCTGATGGAATGAGGGAACACCATGTCAGAACACAACAATGATTTCTTTTCCTCACTCTCAGTGAGCAATGTGCTTCTGTGGGTCTCTCATCATCCTGAAGGGTCTCTTCAAGCAGGTTTAGGGTTCCAACACCAGACAAACTGACAAATAATTTGACATACTGAGGGTATTTCTCTAGTTTTGCCTGTAAGCCAGGGCAATTTACAGAAGAGAGATGTTAACAGGAGTGAGAAAATGAAATAGCTTAAGTGAGATAACACAGAGCCTCTGATCCCTGTCCATAATGAATGCTCCCCTCTGGATAGAGCCTGGTGACATCAAGCTTATCATGAATATGTCTGTTCAGACAAAACAGAGAATGGGGGAGAGGGCAATGAGCTACAGACCAGCAAGGAACTGGTTCATTCCCACCCCAGGCTGCTGATGGAGAGCAAATGGGATAAATGTGATGGATCTGCATTCCCAAGTGACCAGGGCAGCTCATGAACTGGGTAGAAGCTGCAATTGCTGTGCTGGCCTCAGCAAATGGAACTGTAGCACAGAAAATGTGAGAATTACTGGCACTTAGCCAAGTCTCTTACAAACTTTTGTGTCAAAGCCTTCCTCCTGAGGATGACAAATGATAAAGCAATGGTAAAACAAATAAACTACAAACAAACAGAAAGTTGCATCAGCATGCAAAGTACCTCCCACAGAGGAACTCCTCTGATCTTTCCCCTGGCATTCCTCCACATCTCTTGATAAAGCAAGTAGATTTCTTTGGGGATGCTCTTCAGAAATGCTAACTTATACAGAATCCTTTCTGCAAGTAATGAAGGACAGAAACAGACCAAAAAATTGTAATTTTTTTATTTGCAGAAAGCCATGTACTATGTTAGTAAATTCTCTACCCTCCTTTGATGGTTTCCTAGTCATGCAGTGTGAACTTGGAAGAGTTCATATTTGCCAGTGGACAGAATATAAATTCAAAGGCTCTCAGCACAGCTTTCCTAATATGAGGGTGGCAGTTAGAGAATTGTTTAACACTTTCTTTGATATCAAAAGTCCTTCTTCTCTTTCTGCAATCTTCATTAAGTGAACAAAACCTGGTTCTAGTTAGAAGAATTAGTCACAGAAGGATGACAAAAATGTGGGAAACTGAAATGTGTAATCAGTTGAAGAGGAATTACTAAAAGGGAAAAAGATCTGAAGTCCAGTGGGTATGACGTAGATAGAAAAAAAAACCAGCAGGAAAACAGGTGTTTTCCTAAAAGGTTATCAGAAAGAAAGCAAGGTCATGCTATTCTTATTCACTGAGAGGATCAGGTTGAGAAACATGAACAGAACCACGTATTTATCAAGGGACAAAAGAGATAACAAAAATGAACACTTTCAGGACTAATTTTCTGATTAGTATCTCTACAGAGGAGAAATATCAGAGGACATAAAAATAGGTCTGTATGCAGATGGACCAGCAGAAATGAAGCAAGGAAATACACTCACTTCTTCAGCACTGGTTAAATTATCTGTGTGTGATCACTAAGTACACTCAGCCCTGCATTGCCAATCTTATGAAAACAACAATCTCAGGGCTGTAGTCTTCCTACAAAACAGGCTAAGACAGCAAATAATTAATTTATTTTTTGTTTATTAGTGTTTTATTAATTCTTATATTTAAGGAGGTTAATAGGGGAAGACTAATGGCAAGAGATGGGTTTGAAATTTCCACTGGGACTAATAAAGTTGAATAACAGATTAAAAACTACTCCCCAAAGCCAATGCAGGCTGTCTCCAGATTTAGCACCTGATAGCAGGGCAGATTAATCTCCACAAGCAGCTTCTCAATTGAGTAGCATTCTCATTGAAACAGAAATATTTTTATAATTATTATTATTATTATCTCATAAATAATAGACTAAACAGAACATTATGTGTTACCCTCATTATCTAATCCATTGTGTTTTGTGTATATTAGAGTCTTGCTAACCCTTTTTGGGATTTCCCCTTTCCCTTCAAACAATGTGTCCGGAAAAACATCTTTCAGAGATGGATACATGCTGACCTGCCACTTCTACTATTGCTAAACCTAAATAACAGAAGGAATTATGCAAATGAGCTGCATAATCATCACCCCAGCTCTCACAAATATTTTTTAACACTCATGTTCCAGAAACACTGTAAGGAAAACAACATCTCAACTGCATAAAATAAAGTGAGAAATGAACAGGAGCTGAGCTGCTGATGCCCCTTCCACTGAAATAATTCTCCACTTTTCCAGGAGACCCAATGAAAGCTTTGGTTGCCCTGCTTGATTTGCTCAAACCCAGTGTAATCACTCTTGAACAGCAGACAGCCTCAGCCTTTGTGGGTATGTTTTGATTGTCCTACAGCAATAAACAGCCACAAATATATTATTATTTATTGTGTCTGACAGTTTAATTTGATTAAAGGAATCTAAGTGAAGGGGGAGAAAGATCATAATATTAATGTCCAATTTGCTGCACAGTGTCCCAGGGGCTCCTCAGTTAAAAGTGTTTGTAAAGTGTTTGGTTGAGAAATCACATGGGGACAAAATCTTAATAATATTCTCCAAAATATATATGAAGCTTCCTGAAAAGGAGAAAGAACAGAAAATATTGTTGGAGAGAACCTGGGAAAATATTCTTTAAGGAATCTCTGATCAGGATAAAAGTGAAAAATTTGTCTGCAAACAAATCCCTATGAGAAGGAAGGAAAAGCTAACAGATCAACAACAACAACAAAACCACAACCCAGATTATACACAGATTATTGTTGGAAAAAGAAAGGAGAAAAATGGCAATAATGAAGAGTGCGAAAAATATACTGACATCTGAAAACAAAAAATATCAATAAATTACCAGGTACATTTCTCCCCCAAAATAAGTGTGATGCAGTCTTTGGACAGACTTTAAAGGTCATTTAGTAGAAAGAACACTTTTGAGAGGATTTCTAGTTCAGAAATGGAGCTCAGATACCAATAGTTTTCTCCATTAGATTTTGTTATTTCAGCCCATGTGTGCACTTAGGGAGGATTTCTCCAGGTGTGTCAGAGCACCGGGAACGAGGAGAGGTGACCGTGGCTGGGCGGGGCTGTTTCCGGGA